GGGGGGGGGGGGGTTGTTCGGACAAGCCTGCCCCCACTGCTACAAAAAAATCCTAGAGGAAACACTGTAATCTATGGGGAAGCCGTTCTCTACATGTCTCTGCCATGAAGTCCTCACAGCAGCATGGAGGCTCTGTCCTCCCTCTTGGTCCACCTCTCCCTCTGACCAAGCACATCACATACAGAATACATTCACATCCTCTCCTCTGTATGAGTGGGCTGTTTAACATCTCTGAGTTTTGTCCTGTCCAGATCAGTGACTGTAGTGTCTGCTTAAATCTCAGTTTCAGACCCTGTGTTTAAGTGAGTTTGATAAATGACAGCTGAGGAATTGCACCGAAAAACACGTGAGAACTGCACACGTTTTAAAAATCATGATTTCTTTCAACGTTGTGCGAAAGCAACCGAGAAAAACGGTCAAGTGTTGCATGCAGCAGGTTTGTTTCCTTCAATCTGCTTCTTAAATTTAATCCCTGCACTTATTCTGTGTTACTGTGACATTAACAAATGCAGTCCTTTTTTAGTTATGTTAAAGTTCAGAAACTGACTTTTGCATATCTGAGTACTGCAACATGGAACTTAATTTAAAACCAGGTAAAGATGGTATATAAAGCTGATAAAGGGGCCCAAATCAAAGTCCAATTAATGGGAAGTTAATAAGAATAGGGAAAAGGTAATAAGAGATATTATGAGATCTTCCCTAAATAAGGCAAGAGGTTATGTTGTACCTCCATCCCTGTGCACTAAGAATTTCCTATTTTAAAATAAAGTCTTTATTAACTGCAGTAAAAACATGGAGAAAACTGACCTTAAGTTTGCATAATCTAAAACATTTTTACACTTTTAACAAGACCAGCAGATACTTACACAGATTTTGAATTCAACTCGAAAAGTGAAAAAACATAACCTCAGCTACAGGTAGAGTAAGTGTATCCTAAATAGTAAAGAATAGAGTGAGTTCTGTGTGACAGCGGGTCGCTTTACCTGCTGGAAGGAGTCCTCAAACAGGGTTTTTCTGGATACCGTGATCTTGATGTGTTGAGGCATTGACAGTTGCTGGAGAAAGAGGAAACACTTGTCAGAAGCATTTAGGGGACAAATGTGCTTTCAGCTGTGACATGACAACACCTGCCAGCTCATGAGTCATTCAAATCAAAACACACAAACACTAGTATTATTTACTACTTCATAAATGATGGGTATCATTTATAGAATACAAACTCACTACAGAATCGGCATGCCCTCCCCCCCCTTTCTTGAGGTTTTCTAGAGGATAACAGTGCCAGTGCTATGGCTAAAGCCTGTTTATCAGTCCGCTTGATTTTCAAAGTGTGGCACCGATGGATGACACAAATTGAAGCCATGTCTCTGATTGCATGTTTTTACATTTTTTTCTATTTACATCACAGCACTATGACTCAAGACTCTGCGGATTGTTAATCTGAGGGGTAATTTATCTCATCAGTTCTTGCTTTGTGGGTGAAGGGGTGCCAATCAGTGCAATTACAAGCTTTAGTCCTCCAATGGTATAGGAGTGCTGATTCTCTCCATATAATATTCAACCACTCAAAATATCTCCTTCCAAATCAGGTATAAATTCAAGCAGTCTCCTGATGCTTATGGTACCCTTCCTGATTGATACAGAGATTGGGACAGAGAGCTTTACTTAAGAATAACTAACCGGTGATTCTGTCAAACTGTTTACTCTTATGACTCCTACCTGGCACCAGAATCTGAAGTACTGTACTTTGGCCTTGAAGTCTCGAACGTAGGTGATCTGAGGTCCGTTTTCACTGTGAGGGAAGCAGAGATATACATGTTTTAATATCTTAAAGCATATTAAATATGAACTTGTTTTTATCCCACAATTATATAAATAATGTGTTTTTTTAATTATCTGAAGGTGATATTTGTTGCTGTTTTCATGTCTCTCCCATTCTTGATATGATTAAAAAACGTATTATAGTACACAAAGGTGTATTATGTAAAAACTGTTTGCCAAGTATGCTACTGCTCCTCACATTCTTATCCCCATTCACCAAACTGGTTTTTCCACCACTGGAACCAAACCAAAGTTATTATTCTCAAGTCATGTTACGCTCACAAATCATTATCATGAATCAGCTGAGGTGTTTTATCTGTGAGACTGACAGAATGAAATGAAGAGACTAAGTGACCCATTAGTCATATCAGGATAATACGTCACAAGCTCTAAAAATACAGAACTACAGTACGTATGCTTTCTGGCATGCAGGAATGCTAGAAAAACTAAAGCCAGATTTGTATTGACAGTGACACCAAACAAGTACACAAACATGTATCCAAGGCATAATGGTTACAAAGGACCTCATAGTATACATGCTGTACTCTTTAATATCTGCTGGTCACTGACCAAGATCAGATTACTTGATGCCTCTAGATGTTACAAAGTAATACTGTTATGTAATTCTACAGTCTCAAGATTATGAGGAAGTAGAAAACAAAATGGTGGAGGACATACAGTGAGGATTTTCCAGTGCGAGGGTCGATGTAGGTGGTCGTTCTCCTGTTGTGGTCTACGAAGTAGGGAATACCGTCTACAGTGAATCTCATCTCCCAGCCCTCTGGAAGTGCTTTCTCATTAAGCAACCTAAGAAATGAGATTACATCAACGTTTAGTGATGGATTGTTTCAAGGGAACTCATTTATGTCATATACAAGGATAGGGCATTTACATTTTGATCTGATATGCAGATGAAATGACCGCAGTGGAATATGCAAACACACACACAAACTTACCCCTGTGTTCTTGGGTCCTCCCACTGTGTTGTCCGCGTAGGGTGATGTACAAAATAAACTCTGCCATTTGTGTCCGTTCTCTTCTCTGAAAAGACACAGTAACAATCAGTTACTCCACTGTTCAACTTGTATTAACAGGCATTGGAGGTTTGGAGGGATTTTATAATACCTACATATTGAAATCACCCACTTTCTGCATGAAAAAAGTTTGTTATATTTTACCATTTGAAGTGACACCAACTACTTTATTTGTAAAACAAGGTACATTCTCCAGTGTTGTATGTTGTTATGGATATTTTACCAAGTAAATGTATCTGCCACAACCAAAGATATACCATTGTATACTGTATATACCACTGTATATCAACAGGGCTGGAAGACAGGAAGCCAGCTCAGAGACTAACAGTCCTTGAGGTAGATCAAGGTCCACTATTGCCCAAAGGTCCCAGAAGAGGATAATCAAATTGTGTAATAGTCAGATTAGTGCACAGATCGAGCGATAAATGCAGTATAGGTCGAGAAAAGCGTGTTTTTGGTGCCCAGGAAGACATTTAAGATGGAGCTTTCCCGATGAGTACAGTCATGTAATTGCACCTCTCTACAGGATTTAAATGTTATATTTAACTGTCTTGTATATTCCATTACACCATGGTTTACGTGGAAATGTGTGTGATCCCTGGGATGTTTTTATAATCGCAGAGGTGGACCACCTTTAAGCTACAACTCTGACTCACACAGGTGTTGGAACTCATTGTTGACAGCTTATCTTAAACAAACTTCTTGATCAAGTTCTGAAAGGAAAAGTAATGTGGAGTACTTTAACACACATTAGTGCGATAAAATAAAAAGTCTCACAGGTCTGTGCATTTAAATTGAAAAGCCTTAGAGATCTTACCCCATCCGTGCGGCAGAGGCCCGAGAGGATCAAACTCCTTATTCTGGGTGGCTGAGACCTGGTCTTGTAGCTACACAGCGGAGAATCAGAATAATTCATATGACTCAAAAAGCACTTACAACGACAGTGTTTGTATTTGTGACCTGATGCACAATCAAACAAATCGAGTTACTTTGGTTTAACAGGACATATTACGAGGGTAGAGTCAGATGTAAAGACAAATATCAGCTTGAACCAAAGTAACATCTTTAAATCAGTTGGGTGTTTGACAATCGGTAGTGTTCCTCATTAACAGTAATGTCACAAACATAAACATGTTAGTGCAGACTATGTAAAATGCTTTAACTGAACTATAATCCTGAGCTACCTATTAACAGCAACTGGGTTATGGGTACATTTATTGAAGTGTCAGCATTAAGCAAAGACTTGGATCTTGCAAAACTTACTTTTCAGCAAAAACTTTTTGCAACGCTCATTTTCTTAAACTAGTGGAGGTGAGTCACCATGTTCCAGTTTATTAACACCCACAGCATCACATTGCAAAGAGGAAGTCTCACCCCGAAGATGAATCTCTGGTTGAACTGCTGCATGGCGCCCTGCAGCTGGCTGCGCTGGTGCTGCCACTGCTCGTAGTTACGCACCGTCTCCATTGTGGGGCGCTGCCACGTGGTGGTTCGCGTGATGTGATCAACGAAGTAGACCCGCCCCATCTGGTCTACGCGACGCTCCCAGCTAAAGACAAATGAAATGGGGGAAGACAATGGGGAAAAGGAGGAAAAGAGTGATTATAGGAAGACTGGCTAAAAACATATGACTTTCAAAGCACTGTTTAAACCAATGAATCTATCTCAGTGTTACTAAGATGTTACTGGATTTAAGAAAAGCTACATTTTGTATAAAACTAGGTCCATCTTCGTACTGAAACACTACCTTTGCCTTAATTTACACTAAGGCCCTTGTAACAAAGGAATTTGGAGAGTGAGACTCCTTTGCATGTTGTAACTTTGGCAGTAAACATAAGCCTTCCATGACAGATAAACTAAATACACTCTTCTTTGTAAAGTAGTTAAAAGGTACCCTGTAGAGTTATATGTCTACATTCAGTGGTTCTCATCAAGATGCATTGTGGGTATCTTTGAAGTTTGAAAAAAGGTTTGTCAAATATAAAAAATAGCCAGCAGGCTAGTAAACACTGGGATTAGTGCGGTTAACTGTATCATGAAACTGTGATCCTCATACATGTGCACCCTTGTGCTCATGCAAATAGAGCAAAAGATGCAAACAAAACAGGAACTCCGCAGGTAGTTACTGATGAAATGCAATGCTGGCTTACTAAAAGCGTCAGCTAAATAAATGTAATGTAAAGTAAATAATATATCAGGATCTTACAATAGGGCATATTGTTTAAAATGGGGACAGTGTCTTATGTGATTTACTAATAAAACAAAAGAAATACTATCTGTATCCAACAAGAGAAAGATCAGAGGGCAAGGAGTTTTTACCCAGGGGGCAGTGGTTCAGGGCGCTCCCATGTCGTTCTCTTTTCCACGTGATCAACAAAATACAACCTGCCGTTCTGATCCACCCGCTGCTCCCACCTAGATAATAAAAAAGTGGCAATAAAATTGAGGACATTAGGTAATGGTGCACGGCTCCGACCATTTAGGTTATCTACGGATTTAAAACAGCTAGCACGGCATGACTCATCCCGCTACGAAAGCCAGCAAAGAGCCGGCGAAGGTCACCGTGTTGTCACAATGACGACACTAAAACAGCACTAATGATGTGAAGATAATAGAGTGTGTTAGTCACAACCACAATACAATTGTAACATACTCTCAGATGTAATGTTCAGACACACCTGTGCCGTTTTCTACTGACAAAAACATTTCTCTACCTTCACATTTGTCACTTGTGCCTGCATTCTTAACTGCTAGGTTGTTTTTTTTTAAATATCTCTGGATTTCAGTGGTTTGTGAAATCTAAACCAACCAGTAATACCACTTCATTGTTGTCATCACACACACACATCCTTGTGCTCGTATTGTATACACACTTCCTTTTATCTATATATGGCTTCAGGAACACACAAATGCTCACTAAACCATGCCTCACTGCTGTATTTCTGTTGGGCTGAGGTAAAGGTTAGCCCAGACTTTTTGCTCAAAGATGACCCAGTTTCTTTGCAACGCACTAATCCTACTCCGGGTGAATAATCAATTCTTCTCTTCTTGAACTTTCTTTTGAGTAAGTTTGTGTTTTTTGAAGCTTGTTCTGTTCCTTTGTTCTTTAAGAAAAAGCAGCAAAACATATAAGCGGCTTTGGCACTACAATGCTATTGCTGCTGAGCATGACAGTGGAAGATCAGATAATACTTTTAAGTCACTCTTTCGTACTAGTGACACATTAGCCTGAATTGACGAAATTTGTGCCCAAAATAATCTTCTGCAAAAGACAACAAAATGAGAGCTGACCCAGGGGGCAGCGGTCCAGCATTGACAGCGGGGACCCTGGGTGTGACAGCAGGTGTGTTGCTGCTGGTTGGCTGTCTGGTTGCTGCAGCTCCAGAGCTGGACACTGATGTGGCTGAGCCTGCTGATGGACTTGAGTCTGGGGCTGATGAGGGTCCTGGGACCGGCGTTCGCACGGGTGTTTCGGAACCTGACTGACCATCGCTGCCATCAGCCGGTGCAGAGCCGTTGCTGGAAGATGCTGAGGAAAAAATCAGATGTCACAAAGTTAAATCACAAAGAAAAAGAAAGCCGTTTTTAAATCAAAGTGGACTGGCTTTACTGCTTGAGCTGGCAAGGAAACAAAAGTAGAATTAACGAAAGGCCAATTTTTCTCTTCACAGACCAAACACTGACACATTTCGGTCCAATTGTTGGTGCTATTGCAGTGTTGCTTCGTGTGAATATGACTCATATCACAGCAAACCGCTCGTACAAAAAATGTATGCAAGTCAGGTCTTGGCCCGACTCGCAATTCAGCCTCAGGGTAAATGTTTGACATTGATTAGATCCTGACAAGAAGAGCACTTGACTTTTGTTTTCCTCCTGTACCAACATGAAAAGTGTCTAGTAACAGTACGTATGTCTGACCTGGAGAAGAGGTGGGTCTGCGGGGGGTTGGAGGGGGAGGTCTGGAGGGCCTGGGTGGTCGGAGAGGCCTCGAGCTCCCTGACGACACCGAGGGAGACCCTGTGCTGTTCACTGACCTCCGGCCGCTGGGAGAAGACCTGTGCTCTACGACGTCCACAGCTGGAGAGCTGTCTCGACTCCGCCTGTGAGGAGGAAGGATGGATGAGGATAAACAAAGCTGTAAAAAAACAAAACAAACAGAAACTGGAAATGCGACACAAGTGGAACTCCACTCTACTGAAAATGGGAAAAGATACTGTACTTTATGGCATGATCCCCGTTTGGTTGCGATTCCCCATTTGATTGACCTGAAGTAAAAACACACAACATAAATGAAGCAGAAATTTGTGTTCACAAACACAGAAATCTTTGATCTAATACGAGTGTACTAAACCCAGTTGATTTGCCTCATTATCCCACAATCTTGAACTGTAAGCAACTTGGAATTGATACTGAAAGAAAGGAAATCATTTTTAAATGAGCTCATTTCCTGTTTTCCCAGGATTTGGTTTTGACCAGACAAGGACCAGACTATTTTTTTTGTTTTACAGCTGAAATGAAGCGGTCTGCATGCGTTCCCGGCTTGTGGCTCTGCTGTGACTCACTGTGATGGTCAGCCTCGGCCGTGGCAAACATCTCGGGGTCGACAGTCATGCCGTCAAGGCAGACAGACAGGTCTCCCACCACGTCTGACTGGTCTCTGTCTGCACACAGCTGTAAGGTCTGCACCACCTCAGAGACTACATTGAGACAACAAAAACACAAGATGGTCAGAGTAGGACAATGACAACTGAAATATGTCGCCTGATGATGCAGGCAGTCTTTGAGTCAACCAGTGGATACATGCATTTTCCCCTTTAAATTTCATCAAAACTAAACCAGCGATATACAGCAAGAGTTCAAAATACTCTTAACATTAAAAAATAAGTTGAAAAGTTAAAATTTTTGCCAAATGCCAACTAGATTGTATACATTTTGTCACCGCTGAACAGCAATACCAGTAGCCTTTTACTTGGCTCAGTGCAGAGAGACATTACAGTTATCTAAATAAATGACAGAAACAAGACACCACCATTAGATCACAATCAAATCTACAAGTCATTCAAATTAAAAACTTATGGGGATCAGTGTGTATTACGCTGCCCTCACATTGACCATCAATCAGCTCTTGACATGTGATTTGTACCCAGAGTTCCCTGTCATTAGCACTGCTGGACAGGGTCCATGCATAAAACATGACCAGAAAGGGACTGAATGGAGTCTTTATGAGAAACAAACCAAAGAAACATCCCAAAAATCTACCAGGGGAAAAAAGAGGATGACAAAAAACAGCAGCCTCGTTCGGAAATGTTAAGTGGAGCAACTCGTTTATTTTATTTTTGTACTCAAAAGTCTAATAAACCACATCTGTAAATGCTTTATATGCTCTCTGTATTTTTTTTTTTTGGGGGGGGAGGGGGTTAGTTTGTGATAGAGGCCTCCAGCTGTTTCTACATTTTGTTTGACTGCTGCGACACAGATGCATCGAGCCACACCAGATTGATACAAGATATGTATTTTGCCAAAAGCACGGGTGTGCAGGAAGTGGTGCATTTCGCTGTTGAAGTAATAGCCATGACAACTGAACAGACAAAAAGTTCCACCTTGAGAAACTCAAATGTCATCAAGAAAACAAAGGAAACACCACCCATATTATCTGACAACCAAACTAAACCAACCAAAACATTTTTAAGGCATAAAAAAAAGATCATATTGATGCTTTATTTATGTTAGTGAAGCTATTTACTCATTTTAGACACTAGGAATACATCGTCTACCCACATTGCAGTTTTTGAATAATGTCATCTAGGGTGTCTGTAAACATAACACCAAGTGTGTCAATGTCAAGGAAGTTTTTCTGCACATAGAAACACAGACATCCTGAGGGAGCTGGCTTGAATTGTTGTGAAAGTAACAGCAAAATTGAGTGTGTGTCATACACTCACTTTTCATGTCATTAGTCTTGAGCGTGTCACTGACGTCCAGCGTGGCCATGCCTAGCAACACGTCTGACTTCAGGGTCTGGTGGCTCCACACCCGGAACACCAGTTTGCTGAATGGAGTCACGATCCTGTTGAAACAAATGAATTTGTTGAAACGTGCAATGCGTCGATGCTTTTGGATGGATACTTGCTCTTGTCCACTGAGGATCTGATTTAAGAAAGCTCTCTAGGATCTAACAATCGAGACTTCATAACCTCCGACGTGAGCTTTATTTCCTCTTTTTTCAGCAGGAAACTGGTAATCTGCTATTCCTTCAATAACAATTTACAAAAGGAGAACAAATGTAGCTTGATGTCAGAGCTCCCACCACCTGACGTCTGCGTCACAATTTATAAGCATTTAGTTTTAAGTTTACTGATACCAACATGGATAAAAAATAATTGCTTTTTCTAATGTATCAATCCACCGATGTTTTTTTTTTTTTTTTCTCCCAAAGCAGCTGATAATTTGCAGTCCCATCAGCCACTGTGTGAGCAGCAAAGGTCTTGTGGTGAAATCAACCCACAGACAATAAAGTTCAGAAGCTATTCAGGGACAACGTGTATCTATGACCACTACTATGACAGTTGTTTAGCTAGCACCCTCAGCGACCCCAGGAAAAACACTTGTGGGCACATGGGCTCAGGTCCCATTACATCCCATAGTAAACACTTGTTACATAATAACCCTGCCCCCATGGGTGCCAGAGAAATTGTAGAACTCTATATTAAGAAGGTGGCCTTGCACAGCAGAAGATCGTGGACAGGCTAAAATTAAGAGGACACCTGATGTGTGAATATGTTGGACTGCAGGAAGTCAAGTGGTGAGAGTGCACTAAGTTTACAGTACATGTTTAGAAACAGGATTCCTGTAAATGAACGCTCTCTCACCGCTGTGTGGCATTTTCCTTATGTGTGCCAACCACTCAGAGATAGCATATCTGCTCTTTAAACTGTACACACACCATTATCCTGAACTCAGAGTTACACTACAGACAATATCCTTCCCGAAAAACAAGTCCCAGTGACTCACTCAGAGAGAAAACTGCCGCAGGCAAGACATCTTGATTAAGATCATATGTTAAACCAGCAATTTTATACAATTATTAGAAAGTCTATTTTTGTATGCTTTGGATAAACTCCTTAAAGTCTGCATAGTTTTCTGAAGAAATGATGATGTGCAATGCCAAATACTTGAGTCAGCAGTTATTTTTCGAGATATGCTTCCTCCTCAAAGCCAAAACTCAAAATAACCACCGATTTCACTATTAGCAATCTCATGAACAGCCATCACAGTTTATTACACCAGGACCATCAACTGACTTGCACTGTTGTGAAGTACATTTTAGCTGTCCATCACCCAGCAGCACAGGCAGTGTTTACTACAATATGTGCTACATGTGTTTGTATGTTTTCTTTATAACCTTCAAAACAAATCTGAAGGCGACAATATTTTTCATGAGAAACTTAAAGCTGCTACTACTTTTCCTTAAGATGCTTCAACATATCTTGTACTGTATCAATAATGGCTAGTCAGTTAGTTACCTGTAATTCAAGAGCTATACCAGGATTGCTGGTATAGTTCCGATCAACCACATAGAGGTAAAACTGAAACTGAAAACAATGTGTGCAACCCCAATAAAGGATTCTTTGGTAAATAACAGTTGTTTTTGATCTTCCTGGAATAGCAGGCTGGTGAGACTGGTGACATTTCACACAACAGGATGACTAATAATTAGGGTAAGATGTTTGTCAAAGCTGAGGTAATGGCCTAACATCAAAACATTAGAATTCACTCCATGTCCTATGCGGCAAATCCCAGAATGCAGGCAGCACAGCAGACCGAATATTTGCATTTTAAATACTATCTGACACATGTCTGGCTGGAGTAAAATCTCTTTTATGAGTAGCAACAGAATAGTAAAGTTCTGATTATCATAAACGTGATCAAACGTGATATAGGTCTGGTAATCCCGGCAAGACTTTGACTCACACAGTGAGCGGCTGCTTCCATTTAGGGCTGTGGGTGTTGTTGCATTTCTCTGTTTTCTTGGACTGGCCGTCGACTGTCACCTCCACATAAGGACTGGGACCAAACCAGTTTTTCTTGTTCTCTTTTAGTTTTGCTGATAGCACTGAAAGAGGGAGAAGGAACCGTGCAGCGGACAGTCAGTCATGTTGGTGCAGAAAGAAAGAGGAAAAGGAAAACAATAACTCAGGAACAAGGAAATACTGTTTATAGCACATTTTTTAAATGAAAAGCAGAACAGGGGAACATGACTGCAATGAAATCTGGATATTACCAGTTGGATAAAACCAGTGCAAAATGTATTTAGCTGGTGAGGCAGCGGTAGTCAAAATGTCTGGCGATGCAGTGATGGAGGAACATCACCACACAATAAAACATAAGGCAAGGCAAAGAAGACAGGCTAAGTTCTCACAATAGGCTTTTATCACGGCAGACATTTTGACGTCCCACAGTAAGAAAAGCACAGGTGCTACTAATAATATTAACAATGGCTCTGTTCGATTAAAGTGCCCAATTAGCCATGACAGTGTGACAGTGAGTCAGCATGCACAATATCAGCACCCTGAAACTCAAGCACCAAATGGAATGCGGCCATCATTCTATTATTTACTATTGACTTGTTTCCTTGTTTTACATTAATAAAAGGCCTGTTATTATCATCATTTTTGAACAGACGAAGCCTCATGTTCAACGTAAAACAAGAAATGTTTGATTTTAACTTTGATATTTCAACTTTGATAAGATGTGAACACTTACCAATGATTTGTAGCTGTGCCTTCATAGGGTAACCGTTGGAAGTGCCCGACTTGGTGACTCCACCATCCATGACATAGGGCTGGGTTGAAGGCCTGCAGCACAGACAACACATCATTAGGTTAAACACGCACATGAGCTCACTGTATGGTAATTCTATTTCGCGCACAACAAGACATCTAAACTAAATTAGCAAGAAAACAAAAAAAAAACAATCAAGGAGTGTATGCGCATCCCTATCTTACTAATGCTTACAGTAAATAGGTAAACAATAAGTACAATCATGTTTCAGCTTCATTTATTCTAATAACAGCCAGTTTTCTATTAAATAGTACAATCAAGTACGATTCAAACAGATAATGCAGACAGCATAACAATCAGCCAGTCACTATTAGAGGATAACAATGTAGACTTTAGGCATGACGCATAAAGCAAATCATGATATATACTGCTGCCTACATAGATGACATAAATGACGGTCTTCTTCTTGTCTCTGAATTACATCATGTGCACTTCCCATATGTGCACCTGTTCTGCCTGTATTCATGTACATTGACTGTGCACAATAGCTGTCATCTCTTTCTGCTTGAAGCATGAACCTGCAATTCCTCCCTGCATTTATTCACAGTGAAAGAAAAACAGTAAATGATCCAGTCTCATCCAACATAGCTCACTGAGCCCCCCATAATGCCCCATGTAGCTAATATGCAAACACTTACTTCTTTTTACTGTTGGAGGTCAAATGCACTTACTGTAAGTCTTTTGGACAGAAGCGTCTGCCAAATGAATGTAATGTAATCTGGAGCATCAACTTTAATAGATGTGGAGGCTACATTTGTTACTTGTCTTCCCTTACTGGAATCCATCTTCAACACTGAAACACTATTATCAGCTGTTGACGGTTGAGTTCCAAACAGCAATAAGAGACTGACTGTGAACTCAAAACATCAAGTCAAACAAGCAGACCGTCATGTGAAACACACACAACTTGCGCTATAATTTCAGGTGGTAAATGGAGACAAGGGTCAGACCCGCAGTCTGTGAAATACTTCTTGGATTAAGTGTGATTTTGTCAATTGTTAACTTGTTACTTAACTAACCCAAAAATACTACCTGTCCCCATGTTTCTGCTCTGTGGCTGAGGGACAAATACACCTGACTACAAACCAGTAAAGAGTCCACACAATGCTGTCAACAACTGAATGCATAAAGACAACAGGTGCTGCTTTGAACAAATATTAACTATTGTAACCCATCCAACCTACATTATCTCGGTGCACCTGTTCACCACAGGAGGCTGGAGTCAAGTCATCTATTTCTACTTCAGTTAGGGATTCCCTTCATTTTCCAGGAGGCCTCGTAGCGACCCCCCAATAAAGGGCCACCAATCAGCTGCTACGGTGTGATGACACAGAGAAAACTTTACATCCAAGGCTGCTTTGCTTGTGTCTTTGCCTCTTCTGTGATGGATTGTTCCAGGTACAGTTTTAGAAACAGTTCTGTAAACTGACCGCTCTAGAAAGAAGACTTAAGGGAGTGACACCTGTTTGTGCTATCTGTTTTGGGATGACATTTTCAGAAATTCCACTGCAAGCTGTATGAAATATAATTTATAAAAAACACTGACGACAGCTTTAAAGGGCTTGGGTTTCATTTTCTCTTTAAAAGAAGCAAAAAAACAAACCAAAACAGTTATGAATCCAGTGGCAAATGAGCTGCACCACTCACAAATGTGTCAATGAAAGAGAGAGAGAGAGAGGAAAGGGTAACACTGGCACCGGAATCAGGTCCTGTGATCTTTCCTAGAATCTGGTCCGTTACCTCGATGCGGCGCCACTGAATAATGCATGTTCCTCAGTCTATCTCGTCCAGTATGCACATGGCAGAGAAGGAGAAAGTGAGGAGCTCCTGGGTAAACTTTCACTTTGGCTACTGCTTCAGTCTCCGTCAATAATTAATTGCAACTGCTGACTTCGCAGCCTCGCCAGAAGGCCGACCGCGTTTTGTAAGATGAGGGGATTCGTTGAATATTAAACTCTACGATGACCTGCCTTGGATTTTTTTAACCAGCTAAAAAAAAAAACACATTTGAACTCAAACTGCACCAGCTGTGCACCCGAACAGCTAAACTTGTATTCTCTAAACTGGTAACTCCTTGGGCTGACACGTAGAGATAAACTGTTTAGACCATGACTAAGCAAACAAAATAATGGTGCATATCGCCCAAAAAATAACTTCATGATAATCAACTTGTTGTGATTATAAGATAAAAGGCACAAGGTTCTTCTATTATGATGCTTCAAGGAATCAATTGCTCAAAAGTCACTGTCCACACTTACAGAAGTAACAGTAGTTTTAACTAATATCCAGAATGTAAAATCATTCAGATAATTCATAGGTTGTTTTTGTTTTGAATAAATAATCGCACATATGTCACTAATTACTGAAAATCCAACCTAACTTTTGTCTTTCAGGTCAAAGGTCACGTTGGAGATCTTGTGTAATGGATTATTAACAATCAAAAAAACTTCCCATAACAGGAGGGCCATCCTAGAAAACACCCTCCCTGTTTAGTCACCAGCTTACGAAACACCTGATACTCCCTGTAGAGAACCATAGCGGCAGACGGGGACACGACCAGCCTTGCCAACATGCAGATGACTAACAGTTGTGACAAAAAATCATTGTCTCTTCCTCACATAACTACAATTCTCCAAGGAGACAAAACTATGCAGTCAGAACAGCTGCTGGGCAGCAACAAACGTGCTCCATAAAGCTATAAACAGCGGGTTTATTTCACATTCAACCATTGTGCTGGTGTCAGCAAAATATTTCGTTTTGAGTTAGTCCTAATGTTCTATTAGTCTCGTATTTTGTGTCATATAAACTATAAACTTCACCAATGAGCGCGGCAACACTAAACTAACGTTATATATCGAATTGAGTTTGGCGTACGAGAACAGCTTTAACTTTAACTTCAACTCTGCTAGCCAGCATGAGCATTAGTTAATGACAACGAGCACCTGCTTTAGTCACTATCCCTCTACAGCCCCTTTCTAGTTGGCTAAGCTAACAAATGTTGGTAAAGATTACATAATTTAATCCAACCAGGACTGGATACCGAGCTAACGCTAACTAGTTAGCCGCACAGTGAAGCACAGTATGTCCTTGTTGGCTAATAAAGTGCACTGACGCTGAGCAGTGTGTGTGTTTACAGTGGCGGGGTGGTCGCAGGAGCGGCTGGGCAGCTACGTGTTGACTGTCAGCCGACCCCCGGCTCAGTCTGACAGCCAGCTGCCGTCCCAGCCCGGCTAGCTGCTAGCTCGTGTCATCATCATGGCTGGCTGGAAAATCCCAAAGTCCAACGGCAACGAAACACCACAAATACCACCGCTGAGAGGTCTACTTATTGGCTGCCATCACTTACCCGGGTCCGAAGGGAGGCTGTGTAACCGAAGTGGTCGCGCTGCGGTGGACTCCCAGCCCTCGGAGTGCAGGATGTTTAGGTTTCAGTCGGGGCTTCACTTCAAGGAAGAACAAACTTCCACCATCTTCGTAAGCTCACGTCACGTGACCGAAACAAGGTGGGGCGCACGCTCCTGCCCCTCTCCGCTGGGATTGGAGCAGAGCCGGAGCAGGACGGACCAATGGGCGGCCAGTAAACATGCCGCTGCGTTTGAGGTCCTTGTTGCGTGTTTGTGAAATAGATTTGAAAGCGGAATGGATTTTGCTGCATTGGGAGTTTTTTCACGGGTCCGTCGGCTTGGGGGGGG